GCTAAGATACGCATCACAGTACCATGTATTTCTATGGGCTCTGCACAAGCTGCTGTGCCGATGAAAATAGTTACTCAACTTTTAAATAATCCTGAGCAACCGAATGTATATATGTTACACACGTAGGGGTAGTCTTGTTACACTGTTCAGAGGAGTTTCAACAACTATCCCAAAGTACAATTTTTTGAGAGTTTTCAGCGTTTGTTTTCACCGTGAAAGTTGCCAGACAGTAAAAATACCTTAATTGGGATTTAATTAATTTAAATCGTGAGGGTCGTCACCTGCGTACGCTTGTTTGTAAACAATGACATGCTACCATCTGACGCGTGCGTAGGTGACGACACCCCTACTTCAACTATATTGTTGTATGAGTCTATTCACTGGATTTATTATATTTTTTACAGATTTTGTCCATAGTTTTGATCTAGACCTATAGCTAACAGGAAATTTGGTCCAAAATTATCAAAAATATTGTAGAAAAATAGTGATAAATAGACAAAATGTTGCATCAACACTTTGGTTGGAGAATTGAAGGGTTTTTAGTAATGTTTTTTTATTCTTTAATATTGATGAATATATTTGAATATGATTTATCATGTACTAAAATTTTATTATTGCTACATGTACACACAGTTACATGTAAGTGTTCATTCGATAAAACGCTGATTGTTTTGCTACGTAGAATAACAATCACTGCACACGTGTATTAGTGATTTTGATCTAAAAGTTTGTTGGCCATGGATATATTTTTGTCTTGGTTTTATGAACATGAGTGTGACGTTTTTTGGGACTACTTTATTGCATGCGTCAAAATACATACTTTTGTAATGGTGTTATATGTCACAGTGTTCTCCACAAGGGGTTTTAGGCGGGCGGCCCGCCCATCAAGTTTTACGGCCGCCCAGTAACTCTCAACACCCGCCCACCAACGTACATCCAGCTGAAATTATTTGTAAAAAGCTTGCATTGTTCTTCCCAAGCCTAAACAAAAGAGTAGTTGCCCAACCCTTTATTTTGCTATTGTTTCAACAGTCCAAACATAAACAATGTCCATTGGAAGTCTGCAAGCAGTTATCAAGTGTATTCATGGCAATGTGTCAATCGCTTGAATTCATTGTCGCCCGACATTGTTGCCACTTATTGCTCACGATACGCAACTACAGTGGTTTCAATTTACAGCTGTATTTTTAATAATCGTCTTCCGATCACGAAAGAAAGAAGTAAATACGAACGAAATGTATATGCACAGAAAATAAACAAATATATTAGCAGATTGCATGTAAACTCGAACAAAAATTTAAATTCTAGCCGTATTTACAATGTTCGCTCAATTTTCATTGTGAAAACAGCATGGAGAAGGCAAACTGATGACCTTTTGGTCTA